CCACAGCCTTTGGGTTACAAGTCCGACTCTCTAACCATTAGGCCACGACTTCCCCCAATACTTAAAAATGTAATTTATTCCTGTGATGGCAAAGCTGAATTCTCAGCAGCCATTACTCATGTCTTCAGTGTCACATGATCCTTCAGAAAGCATTCTAATATGTAGATTTTAATCAGTGTTGAAAATATTATTTTTGTCGAAAATGTGATATATTTTTAAGGATTTTTTTAAATATCAAGTTCAGAAGAACAGCATTTTCTTGAAACAAATAATTTTGTAACAATGTAGAAGTCTTTACTGTCACTTTAGATCAATTTAATGTAGTTGACAGCATATGTAACTTAATGAAGTTTACTGTTTACTAAAAAATGCTGGGGGGTTTTGTAATGGAAACATATTTCAGAATTGTTTATATTGTTCCAAGTACCTTGAGGTACCATGTAAAAATGGCATTTTCAAATGTCAATCATTTAATACCATTGTATATATTAAAAACTTTGTATTACAATAATTTTATACCATGGTACCACCACGGTCCTATGGTTGTGATGCTATTATGCTATTATCTAATAGGCTAATATGTGTGTGTGTGTGTGTGTGTGTGTGTGTAAAATGCTGGGGGGTTTTGTAATGGAAACATATTTCAGAATTGTTTATATTGTTCCAAGTACCTTGAGGTACCATGTAAAAATGGCATTTTCAAATGTCAATCATTTAATACCATTGTATATATTAAAAACTTTGTATTACAATAATTTTATACCATGGTACCACCACGGTCCTATGGTTGTGATGCTATTATGCTATTATCTAACTAATATGTGTGTGTGTGTGTGTGTGTGTGTGTGTGTGTGTGTGCGAGCTTGTGTGTGTTTTTGAGTGAAAATCACAGTCACAGCTTATAATCACTTTTAGAGTGAACTATACTAACATCATTTGACATTTGTCGAGACATGCCTATATTTACCAGCAGCCAGGTGTTCACATGCCTGAGGAAAATATTACATAAATAATATAGTAAATCAGAACCTTTATTGAAGAAAAGAGAAACGAAAATTAATGTGTTCTCTGCCCCTTTGGTCAACTTTTAAACTTGTAGCTTATTGAACTTCCAATTATTCTACACAATTATGGATTGCTAAATGATGAAAATACAAACGGTTTAGAAACCCAACATCATAACGTGGATTGGTAAATTTGGTAGGCTACATTACATTACTTCTCCGATGGATCTAGTTTTGCATATTTAGTACCTTGCACACAAACAGTCCACACATGATTGAAAGATGGTGTAAAGGCCGCGTGCTTTAGTGTCCCGTGCCCATTTCACAGCGTCCTGCCCTTTATCAGTTTTATTTCCATCAGAACCAATTCAAAACGAAACACAGACACACGACTCATTGAAATATCCCTGTCATACTTACGGTTAGTTTCTGTAATGATGTTACAATAGTCCGCATCTGTAAACACGTGCACGCGCAGCCTTCATATCTGTTCCCAGAGCTGCTCAACCAGAGAGCCCAGACCCCTCTCTGTGAAGCCCAGACCCCTCTCTGTGAAACAGACCGATCTGCAATCAGTTTCCATACCCTGCCTGTCTCTGCATCTGTGCAGCTGTTTACGATCCAAACAGGGGCGTTTCTTTTCAAGGTTTCGGTCTCGCTGGGCGTTTAGTGCCACCCATCGGTTCATATGGGGCACTGACATTTGGAAATGTGTTTGGGAGAGAGAAAAACTGACATAAAATTGGCGCCTGTTCATTTTAAAACACATTCAGGTGTCTCAATTATCAGTCTCTATTTACCCACAGAATTTGTGAGAAATATAACTGCATACAATTTTATATTTAGTCTTGTCAGGTGCACACTCGTGTGTTTTTATAAACTAAATTGATGACTGAGCAGTCTTCACCAACTTCACAAAACCAAACAGTATATAATAATGTCATAATAAGCAGTGTGAACTCCTCAGACTATCTCCTTCAGTTATTATGAATTACACATCATCAACAACAACAGGAAAAAGCTGGTATACAGAAAAAGACCGTTTTTGTTCTGTTTCAGTAATCAATCAGCATCATAGCCTATCCAAAGCTATTCAAAACTTTTTCAGAACTCTTTCCCCAAAATATAAATAAACTATGGGCTGACATGACAGCTGTGAGGACAAACATGAAATGGACGTTATAGAATATAATTGGAGCAGAAAGTAAACGCAACCCTTGAAACATGGAGTCATTACGGTGGACTGCTGCAGTCTGTACTGTCTCTGACTTTATAATAGGGTAGTTTTTATCCTATTGTACCATCTGTGAACTCTGCATTTCATCTCAGACGGGTAATAGGCCTATGTGTTGTGACAGCACAATGAGCTGATCAGTAGACTCACTGCAATATGTCTGAATGTTTTAGTAATCCTCTGTGAAAAACAAACAGTTTTAATGTCTATTCTTCTTTTTTTTTTTTTTTTAAAGAAAATAATGTTTCTAATCTGATGATTACAGTGGGTATTAATTAATAACTTACTACAGTTTTAGTAAAAGCATTACTTAAATACAAACAGTGCATAACAACCTTTTTATTAGCGCATACAAGTAAGGATCAAAGGCTTTTACAATAAACTTACAAAAAATGACTTCTTTACAGTGTTTTTTATCAGCTTGAAGGTGACTCTTGAATGAACTCAAAAAGGTGACTCTCTTATTTTTATTGAGGAAACTATCCCCAGAATAAAGGCAATTTTTAACCCTGGCTTAATCCTTTTTACTTTCACACCAGTCATTTTGAAAAGGAATGGGTTATTACTTTTCAATTTGCGAAATGGAGCCCAATAGCTACTGTGTGTCTGAAACAATAAGGTGCTAGAATGATACAACGAGTTGTTTAACAATAGATACATTTTAAACAAAATAATGATTGAGAAAGATACAGATTAAATGAACATTTTTTACAGATGGACAAGCTATATAGCTCACATGCGCATTGCATGCTATATGTTAACCTAGTAAATATGCCAATAAGAACAAAACCCAGGATTTAAAAATGTGCAATGGGAAATCTTGAACCCTAACTATCCAGAATTAAAATTTGAGCAGTGAAAAAGAAAACTACCCTAGGTTAACCATTGCAAGCCATTCATAGCTTTCTTATAATGTGATGAATTTCAGATGGTTAGAGGATTTGTAAGGAGCCCCTCAAGTGACATGAAGGTAAATAAAATGAGAAGGAAGGGGAAAAAATCATATTTCAATGCTTTTGCGCTCCCCCGAGAAACTTTGCGTTCGCTCGCAAAACCTTTTGTAATGGAAATATGAAATATGAGATGGGATGAAAAACTGTAGGCTACTGTATTTCAGCGAGCTGCGAGCGAGCGCAAAGTTTGTCGGTGGATAGTTTCTCGGGGTAGAGACCACAAAAGCATTCTTCCTCCCTTCCTATTTGTTCCATCACAGTGTCCCCGTAAATTTACACGCATATCATTAAATATATTGCATAACAGGTAAAAGTGATCATGTAACATCTTGGCATGCTATATTCCAACGAACGCTGCATGATCTACCGTCGGCCGATGCCGCAACTTTTGTCTGCACTTGGGTGTAACGCCAAAGCTGGTGACCATCAAGACATGCGCTTTACAGAGATTAACATGACGCTCTAGCCGTTGAGTGACTTGCTCCAAAGCCTCTAAGTGCTCCAGGGAGTCTACCTCAAACGTTTGCCATAAGTCAACTGCAAAATACATCACACAAATAGCATAGTAATTATTGATAGGACACATTATGGAGTTTAAGCAGAACCATAAACAACCCTACAGTTTTCTATCCTACTGTATTTAATTACTTAATGTACATAAGCAAACATATTAACCCTTACATTCACGGGTCCATTTTCCAGGGTCCAACATCAGATGATGCTTGGCATGTTCCAACTCTCGCCTGAGAGCATTATACTTGAGCCTCACCTCTGCTATTCTCTGCTGTCGATGCTCCAGGAATTTCAGCTTTGCACTAAAGAGGACTATACCCTGAAAACGTGGATGACAAAATGTAAGTTTGCCTCCATATAAAATGTGAGTGACCTGAAATTAGCATTTGGCCTACCATTACACCACAGGTTTTTATATTAAAGTAATAATAGTTTTTCTATAACACATATACAAACAGTCTTTTAAAACAAAATCAAACACTGTATTCAGCTATCTTCAGTCTAATTCAAATCTTGTCCCACAAAGCCATCAAATACACAGATACACTGAATTACACACTGTGAAATTTATTTAAAACAATACGACCATGACCGCTTACTACAATGAATGAGCAACTATACATTTTACTCTGCAACATAATACTACTACATAAACTAAAGTGAAAAAAGAACACAAAAAGAAAGAAAAAAAAGAACATACATTCCTGAACATACAGTTTTGGTTTTGTGATAACAATATTGTTTTGATTAGATTAAGCACCATTTGAGAAAAAGTATCTTTACTGCTTTGAAAAAATTGTATTTGAAACATTGTATATAAGAGAACACAACATTGTCAAAATTTCCTGAATATGTACAATCCATTGTTGAATGAAAACGTCTCAGGTTACTTATGTAACCATGGTTCCCTGAGTTGCGCATCGCCTCGATGTTGGCATAACTTGTATGCTGGAATCGATGGATGCGTGAGGAAAAAACGGCCTCTTCCATTCCTTCTCAATCTTTATATGAAAAACAGGAAGAAAGGAAGGCTCACCTGAGCTGGAGGGTTATGGCCAGAAAAATAACGTTCATCGAGATATTTCGCGACGTCACTTTCTTCACCCGCTTTACGGCAAGTAAAGCCTCGCCGTGGCGCGATCCATAATTTCCAAAAGCTCATCATACGCAGGGCAGGAGGATTGGGAAGGCTCAGCCTCAGCTTCTTTGCCCTCCTCAGCTATTTCCTGCTTTTGCTGGGCTGATCCCAGCAGAGCACTGGCCCCTGAATCAGATAATGTTAATGAAATAACATCATCCTCCGGCGGCTCACTCTCGTGCACAGCCGACGATCGCAAAAGGGAAACCCCCCTTCAAACTCATCGGCCAGATTCACCTGCGATCCCCACGAGCTCATTCCCTTCCGTGCCTCAGCAGCGGCGGGTCCTGGATCGCGGGAAGCAGATGGCTGCCCCTCTTTCCTCGAAAAGAGAGACAAATGAGAGCGGAGGTTTTTTTTTGTTTTTTTTTTGAAAACGCTCGCAGTGCACGCCGATTGCCCCCTCGGAGACATTGCGTGCGTGCTCTTTGCCCAAACAAACAACGCATAGATCGTGTGTGTCATCAGATGTTAAACAACGTCAACACGGATGCACACATCCTTAAATGCTTTGCTAGTGCTCGCCATAATGAGATGAATAGACATCATTCTTACCACAGAAATGCACGCTTCAAACAAAACAGTCAATGAAGACGAAGAAGAGAATGATGTGTAGCTCCCGGCGCCTATTTATACTATAGTCGCACCGGTAGTGACGTCATGGCTGTCGCCGGCCAACGAGTTGGTGTTTTTTCAATGTATGCTTCAGACACGGGTCATGACGAGGCGTTCCCCCATAGCGACCCCTAGAGGACGCAGTTCGAAGTTCCCATGAAAGGGAACTTAAATAAATTGTTGAATGAAAACTATACAAATAACACATTTGAAAAACAAAATAATGTAAAATATTTCCTAAATTTTCAACAAAATGTTGCATATTCTTCAGAAATTGAATTTTTTTAAATAAATAATATAAAATCACATTTATTCTGAATCAATATCTTGTATCTAGTTTGGGTCAGAGTTTAAAAAACAAACAAACAATGCTTTTAAGTTTTGAGAAATTAGTCTTAAGACTGGAATACACTACATGACTTTTAAAATCATTATAAACAAGCTCGCGCCAAAACTCTGACTGCTTTGACTTTTGAACTAACGCTCTCCTCCGGACTGCAAATCAGGGTAAAAATCTAGGTAAAAGTCGTGTTAGATATCCCAGCCTTTACTTTTTAGAAAGCAGTGTTGCAAGTCAAGTTAATTGGCTAAATAACAGATTTTTGTGTCTAAGCAATTCAGAAAACTGTAAGAGTTGAATCAAGCACTACCAATTTAATGGACCATACAAAGACAGCAGTTTGTAAATGAAATACAAAGCAGACAGACAGACAATTTTTTTCATTGACACATTTTGAACCTCACCTTGTTCCCTGCCCCACCTCTCTTCTGTACGCCATCTACATTATCAATCTCATAGACTTTAATTTCATAAGAGTCGGAACCACCCCGATCCACCCGGTGCGTTTTGGGCCCACTGACAGATCTCTTCAGCGACAGGAGGTTGTCTTGGGATGGACGTCTTAGACTGGACCCTGTGGACAAAGACAAGTGAAGACCATATTGTTTTTTTATGCCAGAATGCATTGATTTTTTTAAAATCCTTACCTATGTTGGTTCTTTTCTTTGTACTTCTCATGCCTTTAGCAGCACCAAGCGAGCAGCTCTGATCGCTGATGGAGTTGTGCGTTGAACTGCTGCTGATTGTAGCTTCACTGTCTCTAAGCATGCTTTCATAGCCGCTACTGACCATACTGCTCCTGTTATAGAGTAAAGCCGTTTTACACATGGCAGGAGGCAGCTCTCCACTGAGAACACTGGTGGTATCACTGGCATGGCCGCTGCAATGGTGTGGTGTCCGTGGAGCTGTGATCCGGCTATATGGGGACGGCAATGTGTGAACGAAAGGTTTCATCGTCCCCAGTTCCTCACATTCATCTAAATCAGACCCACCTTGACTAAAAGCAGAAAGCGTGTCTCTACTGCTTCTTAAAAGCTCAGCTCTTCCTTTCCGGACTGCACCGGGTGACTTCAAACCACTGTTGTCTTGACTTCGGGATAGGGAGAGTGTTGACCAGGAGCTTTGGCTGACAGGTGCTCCGTTAGGAGAAAAGCTTGAGCTCCTGTTGATTGAGTGTCTAGTGGGTTTGGGGGACAAGATTGGCATCTTGTGGATCTTTGAACTGGGCATGAATTTATTAACAGATGTGCTCTTAGAGTGACCGTTTTTAGATGGTCGGGTTGCATCATTGGCATCATGCATTGGGAAGAACCGTGGAACCCTCCCGAGACTCTGACTAGCTCGACACCTTACAAAGTCCTCAAAGTCTTCTTTAAAACCTAGAGGGCTGGGTTGAGCTGAAATGTAATCTTCATCTAAAAGGCCTTTCGGAGCCATATCGATGAAAGCAGTCTCTTCGAGGAACTTGCTTTTAAGTCTTGAGCTAGAATTACCTTCCAAGCTTCCTGTTAAGCGCCCGCTCTTACTATGATCCCAAGTTTGGCTCCTACCGGATAATGCTCTCCGTTTTGCATTAAACAACTTGCTGCTCTCCTCAAAATGAGATTTAGTGTTGGTCTTAGTTTCAGTAGCCAGGTATAGCATTGCACTTCCGGCTATTCCAGATTCTTCTTTTGTCTCTTTTCTCTTGAGATTGGGACTATTTGTTGACGTTGATGGCATATTGTCTTTGGTCCATTCCACAAGACTGTCTTTCTTGGTATACTGTTTCTTCTCGTAAGTTTCTCTTGGACTATGTGGGTTCTTTTGTTCTGTTTTCATGTGAGGGACATCCTTGACGTCTCTCTTGTTGTTTTGGCATATCCAGCTCTGCTCAGGTTTAATTTCACAAGCATATTTTCTAGACTTGGAGACCTCACAGGGAGGGTCAAGTTTAACAAAGGCTCCTTTACGTATCTCCTTCACATCTTCAGTCAGGGGCACCTCAGACCAAGTATCATGTTGCGGCAGGTTTTTCGAATCAATGAAGTCGCTTGCCTTGTCAATATGTGCATTGATTTTTGTGTGTTTTACAGCTGCATCTGATGAGGCCGTGGAGACTTCATTCTCTGAAATTTGTGTATTAGAGTCGGAACTATAAAAACTCGCTATTTGTTCTTCACCTATGCTGCCGATAATCCTGACAGACTGACTTCCTGGTGTTAAAGCCTGGAGAGAGTGCGACTCATGAATACTTAATATTTGTGCCTTTCCTTGCTCAGTGGCCCCATTTATTGTTACCTCCTCAACCACGGTATAGACAAGCTCATCATGTCCATTAAGATCCAGCGGCTTCTGAACAGTCACAGTGATAGTGGCCCTCATCTCTCTCTGTTTTTTTCCTGTACAATGTGGAATGTCTTCATTCAAAGAGGCAGAAACAGCCGGTGGGGAGCTCAAACTAGAAGATAGGGATGATGAAAAAGAAGAGGATGAGGTAGATCTCGGAGAACTCTTGCCGATGGGAGAAATTCGTGTCTCAGATTGCATTGTAGAATCATCCAATATTCTCATTTTACCTTGGTCTTCCAATTTCAAAGATCGTGCAGTGGGCATCACATTCATTATTTTATTATGAAGCTTAGATTTGCTAGGAGATTGGCTAGACAGCATGGGATCAATCGGTTTGACGACATCTAACTGTGGCAGACATTTCTGAATAATCTGAGAATTGGCGGTACTTGGAGTTTCTTCACTGTTGTGAATTATCGCAAATGTTTTTGAGGTGTTTCCTTGTCTGGTACTATTGGATTCTCTGTTGTTTGATGCTTGAATGTCCATTGAATTGGACAGCTTCTCGGTTTGGCTTAAGTGAGGTGATTTGCTCATAGCGTTCACTTCCTGATCTTTGCATAGATCCGATTCTGTTCCGTCTATGTTTCCCAGTCGATTCTGGAGTTCTGCAAATGTGTTGCACTTCAGACACTCAAAATCTGATTTATCTTGCAATATTGTAGGTGTTGACTCTTCTTTAGCCTTTTCTTTTGATATCTGCTTCATGCGATTGGCAATTGGTGGAGAGATTTCACAAAACTTCATCAGCGAGAGCTTCTTGGACTCCAATTTGCTCTTGAGTAAAGATGGAATAATAGGCAAAACCTCTCTGCTTCTATTTGTAACTTCTTTATCTAGGAGGCCAGAAGGATCCACAGAGATAATGGTATCACAAGACGTATCACTCCCAGGGTAAAATGCTGGATCACTAGAGAAACCAGGAGAGGAGAGATCTTGATCCAGTGTCCCTGTAGATTGGAATCTTAGCTTAGTGGAATGATTAAATTTCCTCTCGTTGCCTAAGCTTCTTCCTCCAGGCGAGCTTGAGGAAGATTTCTGAAAAAAAAAAGCAAAAATGAAAAACTTAGCTTAAATTCACAGAACTTGAAAAGTGGAGAGCATGTCCATAATTCAAAAAATAAATAAACGGACATGTTATAACTTATATGAGATATATAATATTATATATAAAGGATTTATATAAAAAGTAAAGCATGGTCTAAATGAACAGAACCTGAAAACTGGTGAGCATGTCTATAAGCATACCCTTATCTTCTTTTTCTGACTTCGCATTCGAGTCACCGTCTGCATCGTACAAAGGCTTTCTGTAAGGTCTTCAGACAAGGTGGATATATGGGCAATAATTGTGGTGGAGCAGTTGACATTGCTCAGAGAGTCTTGCAAAAGCATGGCTAATTTACTTCCCCTGTAATGAAGAAATTATCACTGATAATTACATTTACTTAATTGCTTTTTACTTAATTAAATTACTGTGCTTTATTTTCATATACTATTAGTAATTCCCTACGTTTATAATTGAGATATACATAGTCATACCTATTAGGGATGTGATTATGTCTGTTGAGATTGGCTGTGATAAAGTTTCCAAGCTCAGCAAGGCAGACTCCACAGTTGCTTTCTTCCCTCTCCCCCACACAGCTCCCTAAATCAATCAGGCTCAGCTTGCTTTGATCCACATTCACTGAGGAAAGTATATATTTTAATAACACCAGAAATTTCAAAAATAATATTAAAGAAATATAAACAATTTTAAGAAAAAGGTCATATCATAAATGCAAAACAGCCATTTTTAATATGCTAAAAACAGAAACGTATGAAATTTCACTCTCCTGGATCAGTATTGTGTGAGAAATGTCATCTAATAGGCCTTTGTATATCCAGATCTGTACTGAGAATCTGCTCATACATATCTCTATATTAGAGCATGAAAAAGCAATTTAACTCACTCCCGGATTTGGTGCTGCTTCCTATGTGCTGTTGGCGAACATGGAGGGTGAAGAACATGTGACAACAATGTGGTGGTCTCCCTCCACTGTCCACCATCCCACTGCGAGATGCAAGAGCTGCATCTAGTAGGAAAGTTGCTCTTTCTGGAGTTGGAGCATTTAGTACACTGTGGTTGCAAAGCTGGAATTAAGAAAATTCAATAATGAGACTCTCAAGTAAATGGGAATGTCTCAATTAACATATCAATGAGTATGTATTCAATTTGTATTGATTGCTCATGAATATTTAGTATATAAATGTCATGCAAAACGTTGTTTTAAGGAATATTCTGGGTTCAGTATAAACTAAGCTCAATCAACAGCATTTGTGGCATAATCCACAAAACTTTAAAATGCTCACTTTTCAATAGTACATACAGTTTAGCTAAAGATGCAAAGTCTGTGTGTGTTAACATGATTTTATTTGACTAATTCTGTATTACAAACAAATTTTCAATGGCCATGACAATGGACCACCAAAAACTTAAAATAACTGTTAAAATTATGCTTTAAATGGAACAAAAATTGACCCTGTTCATTTCCATTATATGGGCCTAACTTATACTGTTTAAAGAAAACTAACGATGATTAAAAATAATTTTTTTAAGTCATCAACATTATCCCACAATTGCTGTGGATTGTGCGTAACGTGTGCTGTACCTGGAATATTCCTTTAAATGATACATGAGCATTGCATAGGCTTGAATTTAAACTCGGCTGAGGCTTTTCCATCACCCATCTAACTTTTATAGGGAAATTTTCCAAGCAACTGTGCCCTCAGGTTGTAACACACTATTTTTTGCAAAGCTGCTTTGGAACAATATTTGGAACAATATAAAAAGCGGTGCACAAATAAATGGAAATTCAAAATAAAGTCCAGATATTAGAACAAAGGAAGTGTGATCGACACTTGCCTGGGTCTTCTTGCAGTTGTCTGTGTCAACATCAGAGAGTAAATCCCTGATGGCATTGTTTTCCCCACAGACCTCTACAGCTGACACGGAAACTGAGATGTTTGCCCATGTCTTGTCTTTCTTCCTGTTAATGAGCTTGAAAAGCCAAGATATAGCACAAGGAATGACTCCAAGGCTTTGAGTGCAACCATCGTGGCCAATCATTGTGTAAGACATTCCTGTAAACCGAAAGAAAGTGAGAATGCCATTTTTTATAACAAATCCCCATTTGGCAAAAAATCCCATGAAGGTTTTGCACAATAAATCGTCTTTTAGACAAAAAAAAAATCACTAAGTGAAATATGCTTCAATACGTGGCGAATGACTTTACAAACTGGGGTGTAAAATGCGTTGTGGCAATGTCACGACCAATTAAATGTAAAGCACTTTACTGGCAGTTGGGCATGGGCCGGTTTAAAAGATTTATGATGTCTGGCTGGGAGCCAAGGGCCAACTTGGAGGCTGGGTAATTCAATCTAGCTTATAGAGAATGATGTCATACTCCAAATGCCATGTAGAGACTCTTGTCATGATTTTGGGTGGATAACAATTAATAACCGTAAAGGTAAATGACCTGTGATGACCCACTGTGTAGCCTCTATGCCGTCCCTTGAAGTAACAACGTTTAATCCACATTCATTGAGAGGCTCCACAAGTCGCACACTGTGGCAAAAAAACATATGTGAATCTGAACCTTTTTGTGTCAACACCATGGGACGCAAAGTTATGGAAGCCTGTTTGCCTCAAGAGTAAAAAATGAAAAGATCATTTTGAGATGAAGTTTAAAATAAAACAAAGACAGGCTGCCGTATATAAAGTCACACTGTGCGTTATGAAGATTCAAATATGAGAAATAAGGTCTACAATTATGAGATTAAATATCATAATGCAAGATATTAAGCTACACTGTGAGATGTATAAAGTCGTTTACGTTACAAGCTATCAGAATTTCATCTTACTTTTTGGCCATATAAATAACAACAACAGCGCCAAATTGCATTTTGTCCAGTTTGGGCCTCTGAATAAAATGGAGGAGCTATTCCAATTTTATTTCAAGCGTGAGCGCCATAATCTCACTACATCTAAATATATGAGCCATAAAAGTCTGATGTGTCAAATATGATACAAAATATAAAACACACATGCAATATATATGACCATTATTTCATATGTCATGCTTTATAGGTTTAAAAAAGATTTTAATATCACTCACTTACCCACACTGGTTTGTCCAAAGCTTAGGATGCAACCATCAGCTCCTAAAAGCACAGACTGGAGCACTTCACACAAGCTGTTCTCACAAACTTCTGCCTGAAAAATAATACTTCAACTTGTTCTTTTTTTCTCTCTTTTTTTATGACAACACTGTTTCATCATTTGTCAGTTGAACTGAACATAAATTATATGTACATTTCAAGGACCTTTCACATGGAATCTGTCTCCTGGGATGTGGAATTATTTATCCAAATGTGCATCTAACACTGAGTGAAATCAGCTCAGTTGATTGTACTGGATCAGAATATCCAGATATTGGATATCTGCACTCAGATGTGACCAAATCTGAGAGTGTTGCGGATGTTTGGATATTATGACTCAGATGGGCTCCAGACAAGTAGACAGATCAGTTTTCACATCATAAGACAGAAATAACAAAGCAGTGGCCCTGACCTGGGTTGAATCAGGGCCAAAGGCAGCATCAAAGGTGAAGGTCTTTGAGGAGACTGTAGTTCCAGCAGTCTGTCTCTGAGGGTTGAAGGTGGGTACATTCAGCACTGTGATCTGTTTCTTGTGCAGGTCCAGTTTGAAAGAGTAGGACTGAGACGGGTCAGACATTGGAACCGAACACACTCGCAGCATCACTTTGACCTAGAATTGGGGGAACAAACCCAAAACAATATACTAATTGGATATTACATATAAATATAAAATATTTTTAAATGTACATAAAATATATATATATATTATTTTAGTTTAGGGCTTAAGGCCTACATTAGAGGATAAGACCTGTGAAAGAAAGCCAAACCACTGTGGTCAATGTTGAAACCTACGCTAATGCAGTGTTGATCATAGGGATAGTGAATGCTTTATGATTTAATGCTCTCTATCTATATTGTCAAACTTTTACTGAGACAAAAAATGTCCTTGTTCCTATAACTATAACCATAACAGTGATATTTAAGACTTAAAATATCCCCCTTTCTATAAGCATGAAGTCACTGAACACACATCTAAACCGGGTTTAGGTTAATGCTTTGTCTGATATCTAATGCATTTGTCCACTGATCAATTATCTTCTCTGTCCTGAGTCTGTCAAATCATATTTACACGAAATGAATTATTTAAGAATCCATTATCTCTGCTACAGTTGCTGGATGTGCAGTGCTGAGTGCGATCTAGCTACCAGGTGCTACCCTGAAAGCGATATAATTTGAAACTCAAGACAAGTCCCATCAGTGTGAACTGTGGAGAGTGAAGTCAGGGCGGGAACCGAACACACTCGCAGCATCACTTTGACCTAGAATTGGGGGAACAAAACCAAAACAATATACTAATTGGATATTACATATAAATATAAAATATTTTTAAATGTACATAAAAAGTGATCAATCCCAGTTGGCAAACATATTTATTTTCAAATATATATATATTAAAATATTTTTAAAAATGACAAAAAATATATTTTGCTAATACAGATTTTAAAATATATTTACTATATATTTTCAAGACATTTAAGTTACTTATATCTAATTGTATATTTTTTTGTCCATCATTGTAAATACATTAATATTGGCCTAAATATATATATATTTAAAAAACATTTATTACTTGCTCCTTGAATAACATTTTGTAATATATTTGGCATGTGTAGGTTTAAATATAAGGTTCAATTATATTTAGACCTTAATTGTATGTAAAATACACACACACACACACACACATAAAAT